TATATTTTATTGATTTCAGAGAGGGAGAGAGAGATAGAAACATCAATGATGAGAGAGAATCATTGATCAGCTGCCTCCTGCACATTCCCCACTGGGGATCAAGCCCACAACCCAGGCACGTGCCCTTGACTGGAATTGAACCTGGGACCCTTCAGTCTGCAGGCCAATGCTCTATCCACTGAGCCAAACCAGCTAGGGTTTGTTTCAAACTGTCCCCTTCACTGACTCAGCTCCATATGTCTGATTTGGTTCCATTGTATCAGACAAACTGTCTGGCACACCAGGAGACCCTCAGCATACATTTGCTTTTGCTGCATAATTGTTCACCAGATGAACTCAGGCTTTTTACCAGCTCTGCATCAGGTCTGTACAACTATTAATAAAGTGTTTTGACTCCTAATTATCTAGTGTTTCCTATATTGCTTCCACAGGAAGCTAATAGGAAGGAGTATCAGTGACATGAAAATGTGAGCATTTCTGGGATGAAAACGAAAAAAAAAAATTGAAGAGCTGGATTCCATGTCCAGAGGGGGGAAAAAAAAAGAACCAGATGAGCCTTTAGAACAGAACAAGACCAGGAACAAGATCTCTGAAACGAGAGAGCTCAAGGTACAGAAACTACACACCATGGCACCAATCTCATTAGCAACTGTCTTATTTCTCTGAAGCCAGAATAGAATGGACCAAGAGACAAATCATTGCATTTGATGTCATCGGCCTGGGCTCCGAATCTCTCTCACTCTTCCTGGGGACATACCCTTCTAAACATACGTCCAGCTTCTTCAGAAGCTGAGCCTTCTGGAGATGGTCAACAGCATGCCAGGAGGCAGATACAAGGCACCACACAGCCTACCGAGGAAGCCTGGCTCCACAGTTCAGCAGATGTCAGGGACCATGAAGACAAACTTATTCATATCATTTTTTTTGCTTTGTCAAAAAGGAACCCTTTATTAATCTATATACGTATAAAAAGCAAGCAAAATCAGAATGTTTTCCTCAGCCGTCCTTTCCACATTTTATGTAGTTTTTGTGAAATATAAATCAACGATTTCTTCATGCCTGAGTTTCTGGGGTAAGTGAAATCTTTTGAGATACAAGC